TGAAAGAAAAATGTTAAGCGTAAGATAATATATCGAATAAATAAATGGTATTTGAAATTGATGAGTTAAAGAAAACACAAGCTATAATCTGGGATTTATAAGTCATTTGAAATATTAAGATTACAGTACACGAGGACGTTCAATTGTCAGAATGGCCGTGTCGGATCTTAAATTATGGTAGTCAGTGTAAAAGGATTAAATCAAATGCGTTCTGCTGCGGATGACTACTTTTTCGCCATGTCCATGAAAGTAGCAGTACAACTTTCAAAATCAAAAAATTTTTTTAACCATAATTTGCCGTTAATTTTCCATAATTTGTAAGGGAAAAAAAATTGCCGATCAATTGTTTTAAAAGTTATCCAATGCTTTGCTAACTTGATATATACACAAAACCTTTTAATTTTATTTACACGGAATTGCCGTTAATTATCCGTAAATTATTTTAACTTGATATCAAGCTAAGCAGTACACCCGTTAATTATCCGTTAATTATTTGTAAAAGAATTAAATTTGCCTCTTGTGTTTTAATATTTAACGGCAAATTCCTGCAAAAGAAAATTTTCGAAAAGTTAAAATTTAGTTTTGTGTACTTGATAACTTGATATCAATATCGCTGTGGAATCCTCTCATGTTATTGAACGTGTAAACCTCGCTAGGCTAGTTAAGGGCAATGGCTCCCTTCTCCAGTATCCACTCAGACAGCAGCTCACCCCGGGAGTAGTTTGCGTGTCTCTCAGCAAAGCGAGAGTTGCTAAACCACATGGGGAATGCTGAATTCGCATCCAGTCCAAGGATTGCGGGAGTTCTGCTGACTTTCAGCAGGAAGGCATCAATGTATCTGAGGTACGGCTCTAGCGGAAAACCGACCCGACAGTATGCGGAGCAAAGGAAGATTGAGTCAAAACTCCCTTGCAGTTTCACGCATAGTCCAAAGTCAGTGGTGAGGGGCTTCACTGGCACGCAGATGACATCGTGATGGTCTACAGCAATGGCTGCGTTTCCACTCGGATCAGAAAAGAGCCTTTGCCGGGCAGGCAGCCTTTCCAAAAACTCGGCTCCGAGGTACGGCTCCTGTAGCAGTGCGAACAGGCATTTTGACTATCACATTCTGTCTAAAGCGTCGGACATCGCAACTTCGCCACGACCACAGTTTGCTTGGATGAAGCTAAACATTAATGTCTGGCATTCACCCTCGCCAGCACCGCCGCATACACAGGACAACCCGGCGACAGCATATGATGCTCCAACGGGTACCCCTTGAATCGGCAATTCCGGCAGTCCGTCGGATTTGTGCAGCCTCGCGCACTGTGGCCGGCCTGTCCGAACTCCGAGCGTAGGGGCAATCTCCTTGCGCACCTTATCCGCAACCTGGTTACTCGTGATACTTGGGTCTTTGCTGACAACGACAGCAGACCAAGTTTCGCGAGGCTTCCTCGGCGCAGGAACCGGAGCAGCGTGCGGCACCGGTAGGCTCGGATACCGCCTACGCCGGTAGGCGGCAATGGGACCACAGCTGGCGCAACGATGGGCGTAGGAGGAGCAAGCGATTGCCGCTTACTCATCTCCTCGAGGACGGCGTTACGCGTTGCCAGCGAAAACACCATTTCCTCGTACCTGTTCAGGCTACGCATCATTGCGCTAGCCTGCACCGAGTTCAACTTGGAAGACACCACATTGGTCACGAACTCCTCCCTTATTTGGGAGAGCTCGCTCGCGACCCTCGACACAGCATCGAGACGATGCTTCTGCATCGAGTTGGCGTCGGTGGGCGCAGTGGGGACAGCAAATTCAGCAGCAGGGGCTACATGGGCAGCACGAGAGGAGGCAACAACAGCTGCAGCACTAGTTGCAGCTTTCGCAGCAACGCTGGCAGCGGGATCGACGACGGCAGCCTTGGATGTAGACGGCCCCTCAAGCGGGGAAGGCGTCTCTTCCAAGTCCGGCTCCGGTAAACCCATCTCTCCTCGCTTAGCAGCTACTTTAGCCTGCGCAACAGACCTGCTAAACAGCTGCTTAACAGCTGACTCCGTACAGCACTGCTCACTCTCAGAGAGCGACGCGCTCTCTTTTTCCAACTTGCACGTGGCGCAAGTGGAAAATTCCCGACCGAAAAACTCGATTTTCCGCGAAAAACGCACCAAGTCTTTCGAGCTCGATTTCCAAGAACCCACTATGCTAGCAGCTGACCCCTTCTGCGATTCTCGCTAGTCCCAGTGTTATCTGGGATTTTGCTGAGCCACATAGGAGATATTGCGTTCGCATCCAGACCGAGGATAGTTGGGTTTCTGCTGGCCAGCAGAAGAACCGCATCCAGGTATCCGATGTAGGGATTGATTTCCGCTCCAAAACGGCAGTATACGGAGGACAAGAAGATTGTGCCATATCTTCCAGTGACTCTCACGCATACTCCGAGCGTCGTTGTCAGTTGTGCAATCGGCATCTGGGTCGTCAACAGCGATGGCAGCCTTGCTGTTGGTGTCCTTAAAGACACGCATATCAGCAGGAAATCCGACGATTTCTCCTCTGTGGTCCACGTAGGGCTCCTGGATCAGTGCAAAGAGATGCCCCGATTCTCTCATCCGTACTGACAGATCGGGGACCGCTTCACGGCGTCGACCGCAATTCGCTTGGGTGAGGCTAAGCATATTAGTGTCTAGCCTGCACCCTCGCTAGCACCGCGCCGTATATCGGGCATGCACCCGAGAGCATATAATGCCCCGAGGGCAGCCCTTTATGGCGGCAGTTCCGGCAGTCCACCGGTTTGGTGCACTTCGCTGCGGTGTGGCCGCTCTCTCCGCACTGACGGCAGACGTTTTCCTTAAAACGGCAGTTCTGCACCTTGTGGTCAAATCCAACACACCTATGGCAAGCATAGGTGCGGACCAGCGATCGGCATCGGTATGAGAACCACTTGATATAGACTCTGCCTACATCAAGCACCGCCAGCGCCTCGTCGTTCACTTCCAGTGCCACATTGACTGTGGCACCGTCGGCTGCAGACCAGGGCTTTGTCGCCAGGTGCACTGCCTTTTGAAAATCCTTTAGAGGTAGGTCCTCAAAATTCTTCTCCTTAAGCTCCAACATAAACTCCTCAGGACCCACTGACGTGTCTACGTCAAACACCGTTACCCTCGCTTTCTCCGCGGGGTTCTTCGCCACTTTTAGGCCCACCTCGGCAAACTTAGTGGAGGCAACCACTTTGGTTAACTCCACCTGCGATGGGGTGCGAATTATCGCACCACCTCGTTTAAGTTCTCGCGCCTCGTGCACCCTTACTCTAAGGGCTGGAGCAACTTCCTTTCTGACCTTCTCAGCAATCTGTCTTCCTGACAGCGCCGGGTCGTCGCAGGCTACTACTGCCGACCACGTTTCGCGCATTTTCGCTATTCGTGGGGCAGCAACGGGGGCTGCTGGGACAGCTTGAGGGGCAACGGGGTGCGCGCCCAGAGCAGCGGTGGCTGCATATGAGGCAACCGTGGGGGCAGCCGGTGGCGGCATAGCCAGGCGGGACTCCAGTGATCCGCAGCGCAACATTAGTGCCACGACTAGTTCGTCGTAGCGACTTAATGCTTCCGACATCCAGCTCGCTTGCTTCTGGCTCATCAAGAGCATGCCACGCCTAGCCATCTTCTGAGCTGTGGATAGCTCAAAAAGAACAGCGGCGTGACCGGCGGCGACGACATTGGTTGCGCTGGACTTCGGTATTTCGGCCGCGTGGACGGCCGTCGTTACCGAGGCTCCCTTCCCAGTCAAAACAGCGGAGGCCAAGCTGGCCGTGGCCAAAATGGCAGCGTTCCTAGCTGCGGCATCATCCACAGCCTTCGCAGCAACATCCTCAGTAGCATCCGGAGTAGCCTTCAAGGCAGCCTTTGCGGCAGCGTTCGCAGCAGCAATCTCAGCAGCCTCCATGGCTGCATGCGACATCCCCTGCCCCTCCAATGAGGAGAGGGTCTCCTCGAGCATCGGCTCCGGGCCACCAGTTGCGCCAAGGACAGCAACAACTTTTGCCTGCGAGGCATCCCGCGGCGTACCCTTGCCGCGTTTGCCTTTACGGCGACCTCTGCCTACGTCCTCGTCGCGCTGCTTGATCTGCTGGACGCCGACATCTCGCTTTCTGAAGCGCTCATAGTGGCTCCCCCTTTCGGGATAGCCGACGCCATCTGGCGGAGCTAATTATCGATTTCGGTTTTTGAATAGTCTACTCACCAAAGTCGAATACACACTTCCGTCAACGAGGTGGCAACTCCAGGTATAACCGGGACACACACCCGCTAAACAGCTGCTCAACAGCTGACGTGGCACAGCACTGCTCTCTCTCAGAGAGCGACGCGCTCACTTTTTCCAAATTGCACGTGGCGCAAGTGGAAAATTTTCAGCAGAAAACTACGCACAAACGCGAAAAATGCACCGAACGCTTACTTTTTTGAGCACTTTCTAACTATACAGTTTTGGAATTAAATTCCGCGTACTTTAGTCAATATCGAAAAACAGGCAGGAGCGCACGAAAAACACGTCCGCTCACCGAAACTTTCCAAGACCGACTGAGTAGATAGGGACAGTAGGAATCTCGTTAATCCATTCATGCGCGTCACTAATTAGATGACGAGGAATTTTTTTTTTTTTTGACGCGAGGATGGAAAATCTTGATAGATACGAGTTCGATCGTTTCCGATACGCATCGATGACTCGCATGCACGATTCGTTGCAGATCTCAGACAAAGAGAGAATTAGCTCTGCAACGCCTACGTACTAAAAACCACCTCATACCACGACGGCTGTGCAGTGTTGAGACAGGTACCATTTTTTTTACCTAGGTAAGGTAAAAGGTAGTTGCAAATATTTGTACTTAGGTAAGGCAAAAGGTATGCAATATTTTCTGTACCTAGGTAAAGGTAAAAGGTAAAAAATACAACTTAAAAATTTTTTAAATTTGAAATTTATATTATCAGTTTCTTATTCTGAGATACAAAGATATAAACATAAGTCACATTGGTTTCTTTTTTTGAGATCGTCAGATCTATAAACATATGTATATATCATTGGTTTCTTTTTCTGAGATACAAAGACATAGTGGTAACATTTCCGTTACAATGTAGTCACAAATTTCATTATTTACCTGCAATATTTAAAATATATTAAATTAAATTAAGTTATATTTAAATCTTTTTATGTTTACCTGGACTGAGTTAAGAGTACTGAAGCAGGATTTTCGATCTTTTGCCTCACCGGAAATTTTCACTTCTATTTCTGAATAGAAAATAACTGTTCGGGTGAACCCTCTGAAAAAAAGTTTCTTAATGTTTTAATGTCTTCATTATACTTGTTTAATTTAAACATTATTATGTGCTTAGTCATACATATATTTATAAAAATGTGGTTTAATAAAAACAAATAGTTTTACATTTTTTGGTGGAAAATAAAACCGCTTAAAAATATTGGTAATTGTTAAAGAATGACCACCCCATCAATGTCCATAAAATTATGTATGTATTTATGTATCCGCCAATTTCTTATTAAAATGCACTTTTAGATTATTTAAACTTATGGAAAATAATTTTCGCGCGAAAAATGCATGTGCATGGATATGCACATTTACATTTAAACACACACTCCAATAAGCACATATTCATACATATATGATGCATACATAAATATGTGCTTGTTCACATACTCAAATAATTCGAAGGTGCATTAAAAAAAATTGCGGGAATCGTGCTGCTTCATGCTATGATTGTTTAAATGTTTTAATGAAATAGGCACAATCTATACATAAATACATACATATGGTCATATTCACATTGATGACTGCACCCCATAAATGTATGAATAAGCACATATGTATGTTTAAAAGCACATGTGCATGTCTACGCACATGCATTTTTTCGCGCGGAAATGAATTTATCAACAGTTCACTTACCTTCAGATGTTTATGCAAGTTGCCGGTTGACTTTTCATCAAATTTGATAGTTTTGTTCACACACAGTTTACACTTCCCGTCCGGTAAAAAGAAAGTACCATTTAAAATTGATGGTAGCTCCTTTTTTTCTGCGTCTTCTTTGCTCATTTTAAGATTTGTTGTGGCGTTTTCTAGGAACCGATGTCATCGATAAAAGTGCACTGTTTAGGTAGCAACGGCATTGCTAATTTAGCATTATACCAAATTCCAACGGAAAATATTTTTGCATTCTATCTATCTATCATATTTCTAAGTTTTCGATTGCATTGCTGTGAAGCAGGGCTATTTCTAATATGCACAATATTTACATACACGTATGGAAGTACCTAAATACCTTACATAGCTAAAACTTAAGGTAAACGAAAATTCGTACCTAGGTAAGGTAAAAGGTAGCCAAATATTTTTTACCTAGGTAAGGTAAAAGATACCGAAAAAAATAGCTAGGTACAAGTACCTAGATACACCCCAACACTGCGGCTATGTTTATATTTTTATTAGTTTCCAAATATTGAATGCCAAGGTAGCAGGCAGTGTTATGGACCAAACATATTAGCTAAGTCCAACACGTATGTATCAGCTGAGGCACATAAACTGTGTGAAGCAGTTATGACTTCCTCGTATCACTCAGACACTTATCATATGTGATTCGTGTGTGGAGAGGAGGTCCTTCGTGATCAACCGTTACCTTATTGACAGCACCAGATTCCTCTCCAGTTTAGAGTTGCCGAGTGAAACTCTATTTCAAAAACCACTCCGAATCGTCGCCGCAATACAGTTTTTATGTTCGGTCTGTCATATCTCTTGACTTTGCGTTGTTGCGCTTTATCAATCGTCTGTCACAACCTGAGCGTCAATCACATGAATGTGATTATCTCGGATCACTACCAGGTCTGGTTTATTCAAGCCGGATTCGCAATGCAAACTTGGTTTAACAATGACCACGCAGTCTCTTCTCTCAAGTCCCACCTTGATTGAATTTACTACGGAGTTGTGTCTAGCTACCCGCCTCCCATGCGTCCGGTAACATTTCTGCATGTTGTGGTTTGTTGTTTCGGAAGCATCACATCCTTCACGACACTGTCGATCCAACTCGTGCCTTCCCCTCGTAGTAGGAGACTTTCAAGGTTGGGCATTTATTCGTATTCGAACTCCGTTCAAATATTCCTTTCCTTTTAGCAAACGCGTGGGTTGACTTATCCATCCGTGTTGCGGGACATAATGCCCTGCTTCACGGAGATCGCTGCCATCACTAGACATGTACAATCTATTTGCAAAATACTTTTCTATTGCCGGACGGGATAGCAATTCTGTATGTTCCGCTAGTAATCTTACCCGGGCCCTCCGCTTTTCGTCGTCGATGATAGAGCTGGCTATCTCGGATTCTTCGAGATGAGGCCATTTTATACTGCTCAATCTTCTTTAACGAAACATCGGTGCCATCCATCTTATTGATGGAATTCCGAGTCCCCCACATACATGGGGGCGTGAATGAATGCTACCGGCACATCCAGTGGAAGATTTAACCACCTTCTCACATAGAATCGTACAAGTTTGTCAAACTTCCTTAAAACGCCTATCGTCTCACTCCCAAGGGTTAAGTTGTGGCTGATATGATTTATGCACGCCCAGTCCTCTAAGATTCTTAATTAATTGCCGTTAATTATCCCTAAATTATTCGTGAAAGAATTAAATTTGCCTCTTGTGTTTGAATATTTAACAGCAAATTCATGCAAAAGAAAATTTTCGAAAAGTTGATATCTTGATATCCATATCGCTGTGGAATCCTCTCATGATATTGAACGTGTAAACCTCGTTAGGATGGTTAAGGGCAATGGCTCCCTTCTCCAGTATCCCCAGGCGTAGTTTGCATGTCGCTCAGCAAAGCGAGAGAGTTTGCTAAACCAGATGGGGGATGCTGCGTTCCCATCCAGTCCAAGGATTGCAGGAGTTCTGCTGACTTGCAGCATCCATTTATCTGAGGTACGGAAGCAAAGGAGCCAAAACTCCCTTGCAGCCTCACGCATACGCCAAAATCAGTGGTGAGGGGCACCACTGGCATGCAGATGACATCGTGATGGTCCACAGCAATGGCTGCGTTTCCACTCGGATCAGAAAAGAGCCTTTGCCCTGCGGGCAGCCTTTCCAAAAACTCGGCTCCGAGGTACGGCTCCTGCAGCAGTGCGAACAGGCAATTTGACTATCGCATTCTGACTAAAGCGTCGGACATCGCAACTTCGCCTCGACCACAGTTTGCTTGGATTAAGTTAAACATTAATGTCTGGCATTAATGATGGATCATGGTCATGGATCCGGGAGCATCGACCAGCAACGCCAACACATAAAAAAACAAATTGACACCGCTACTCCAGCATTGACCAGCAGCGTAAACTGGCCGATTGCTGCAACAGAGCTTATTTTAATTTTAAGACAATTATTGAATATATATAATTAATGTATATACAAACTCCAGGAACACACCAGCCCGATTTGCCAAATAGTAAAACACTTTAATTGTCTTTTTAGTTAATTTTTATTTCACAACCGCACGCTCTCGTTGTCTTCAAGTAAGTGGCAAGGGTACGCATGTGCATACAAAAGGAAACAAAAACGTTCTTTGAAAGAGAGGGAGAGAACAAAGAGAGGAGAGGGCTTTGCCTCTCTCTGAGATCTTCATTGTTCATCCCCTTCCCACACACACACCATGTGTATATGTATAAGTGTGACTTTTGGTATTCTCAACACGCCACCTCAAAAGTTACACTGATACAATTTAAGGAATAACAAAAGATAATTTTCTGACGAGTTTGTGCATTTTCAAATGGTTGTAATATTTTTTTTTTTTTTTTCTGGGGACTCTTTTTTTTTTTTTCTGATCCAGCATTTGCTGCAAAGAATTGGGGAAACCCAGTAAAACCCAATCAGATCATTCAAAAACATAAATTAACAAGATTCGCTTATATAAACAGTAATGGTTAGACTAGAAATTATTTTGGTTTGATTATTGTTAAATATATATATATATTCCAAGAGATCCAGTTTGGCTTGGTTTAAAGGTGAATTATAAATTAGCAAAAACTCCATATAAAGGTTCAGGGTGAAGGTCCAGTTAGCCCCATTTGGTCTCGCAGTGCAGTGAACCTAGCTGTTGGTAGTGGCTTCGTTAAAATATCAGCCAATTGGAAATCTGTGGAAATATACTTGACACAGATTAGTTTGTTTTCAATTTGTTCCCTGGTAAAATGATATTTGATATCTATGTGCTTAGATCTCTTGTGGCAAGTAGGATTATTGGCTATACTAATACAACCTTGGTTGTCTTCAAAAATATCTATTGGGCCAGTTAACTTTAATTTAATTTCATTTATTAATGACTTTAGCCATAATGCTTCTCTAACACCTTCAAATAAGGCCATATATTCGGCTTCGGTAGATGAAGCAGCAACTGATTTTTGTTTCATAGTACTCCAGGATATTGAACAATTTCCAAACATTTTAAATATATATCCTGTAGTACTTCTCCTATCAGTCTCATTTCCAGCCCAATCAGAATCGACATACCCTATAAGAATATTATCCACTTTAAGATTCCTTTTTGAACGATAACTTTAAGTCAACAGTTCCTTTTAGGTATCTTAAAACTCGTTTAAGACATTGCCATAATTCTTTGTTATTATTATTAGTATACCGGCTTAAGATACTAATTGATGTACTCAAATCCGGACGTGTACACAACATTATGTACATTAAACAGCCAATTAAATTCCTACATGGTGCTTCACATGATTCTTCAGCTTGCAAGTCCTCATAATTTAGTTTGCTTGGAAGAGGGGTACTAACTGGATTGCAATCTTCCATATTGAATTTCTTTAAGACATTTTTAATATATGCAGATTGACTGCGACAAATTTGATCATCTTTTCGATCAATTTTTATACCAAGGAAATGTCGTATTTCACATAAGTCAGTCATTTGAAACGTACTTGAAAGATAAGTTTTAAATATAGACATACTTTCGGAATTACTGGTGGCAATTACCACATCGTCAACGTATAATAATATATATATATTTTTACTTATATCTCCCTTATTTAAAATATATATACATCGGTCTACTTCTGGATTCTGAAATCCAAATTGTTTAAGTGCACTTTCAAAAACCTCAAACCAGCATCGCGCAGCTTGCTTAAGGCCATAAATAGCTTTATTTAGTTTACATACTTTATTTCCATCATACTGGTTTAAACCTTTTGGAACCTTCATGTAAATTTCATCCTTTAAAGTTACATTTAAAAATGCTGTTTTTACATCCATATGATGAATCAGTAAATTATATTGATTAGAAAATGCTAAAAGAAATCTGAAACTAGAAATTCGTGCAACAGGTGCAAAGGTCTCGTCATAATCTATCATATATTCTTGGGTAAAGCCCCTTGCTACCAGTCTTGCCTTATATTTTAGAAAATTACCATTTTCGTCTTGCTTTAAACTAAAAACCCACTTGCAATCTACTATGTTTTTATCCATAGGCCTTTGCACTAAGCACCATGTATTATTTACAAAATGAGAATTTAGTTCATCTTGAATGGCTTCCTCCCACAAGGTTCTGTCATCGCGAAATTTAATTTCCTCATATGTATTGGGAATATCACTTAAACACAATTGGGTATTCATAAGACATTTTTCTAAAAATCTATATGATAATTTTGGTTTATCTTTATTTCTCTCACTGCGTCTGACTTGTTGATTTTCATTTTCTTGTATATTATCACCAATTCCAACTACTGGATCGGTATTCTCGAGACAAGTGGAATTTTCATTTGAGTTTTCACCAGACTTTGAATCCATTGATTCATTCATTTCCTGTGATGGAAAAACTAACTCTTCATTCTCTCCAATTTGAGAATCATGACTTCTGCTAACATCATTATGTTTTACCACAGAGTCATTTTCATTTAAAGTCATAGATTTTATGCTTTTTTCGTCCACCACTACATCTCTAGCTATCACAAATTTTCTCGATTCCTCATTCCACAATTTATAGCCATTTGGCTCATACCCGACGAGTATAGTCTTGATCGATTTGTCATCAAATTTTCGCTTATGCACTTTATTTAGTGCGTATACAGTCGATCCAAATATTTTTAAATATTTTAATATTGGCTTCTTTTTATGCCACATCTCATATGGTGTTTTTCTTATAT